ATCTGTTTTGGTTCTGATTATCATGTTTATCGCGCTGAAATCATGCATTTTAAACCAAGTTTAAACTTCAGATATACGGTTTTCTGAGCGCACATATCCGAAGTACATGGACAGAAAGCAGCCGTCACAGGCATGTGAGTACTAAACTAAGTTCTCATTCACACACAAGTTTACGCGCCGGTTGTTTTTTATGTCAGCAGGTTGAAGCGACCCCAATAACGTGATATTTAGGCCCTGGAATGTGAATTGTAGCCTACTAGGAGAACCCCGCCAAAAAAATGTGTATTTTACCTCCGAATGCGATTTTTAATGGGGGGACCCCCTCGAAAGCAATTGGGTTATTTTCAGGCTAGTTTTGTGTAGTAATTGGGCGGGTTTTGTAGCGAAAACCTGGCAACGAGCGAAATCAGACGCGCTCGTTTTCTCAGACACTTGCAGAAAAATGTTTACCAAAACAAAGTTACTGAGTTAATCTTTTTCACGTTTCCTTGGTTGGTAGATGCACCGGGGACCCGATTATAGCACTTAAAACCTGGAAAAGTTAGATTTTCATGATATGTCACCTTTAATGGTAGTATATATTAAAATTATATACAAAAATTCTAACAAAATGAACATGCAATATACTGTACATAGATATATAAAAATAACGATCAATATAAAGCTTGGGGAACAGTGTACAGATCATTCAACTCCTCACCAGTATAAATTTAGACAGGTAAATTAGTTGAATGAATTTGCTGAGAACATCTAAGAATGAGGTGGCATGTCCTTAACAATCAAACCCCAGCCTGCTCCCCTTCAAGATTTTGGAGGATTTTGTCTTAGCAGAATGTAGTGGGTGCACAAATGCACATAGACGCAATGACACTGGTGCCGACTTGCTTTGTGGCATCAGTTTCCTGTACGCAGAGGCGTTTTATTAACAGATACATAGTTCTATAATTTGACTGGAGATACTGCACAGGTGGGTGGTGGGCAAGAACCAGAGAACGAAGGAAGAGTGGATGGTGTGGCTCTAAGACTTAAGAGATATAGCAGCGGGTTGCGACAATAGGGAAGAATGTAATCAAAGCGCAAATGAAAACAGACGAGATGGTGGGATGACAGGAAGAGTGGAAGCAGCAGGGTGCTGCACGAAGGTTTGCGGAGGAATGTTTTAACAGATCCCTGCCATCAGATGCTAGCAGTGTTTAAAGGGGAATCGGGCCGTGCCATTGGATGCCTGGTTGCCATAGGGACGACGAACAGTGACAAATTGTAGAGCTTTGTAGCTAATGGAAACATTGCTAGATATTTAGAGAAAACAACATATCACAACAGTTCACAGTATAGCCACATTTTTCTGTCCTTTCAGAAAAATATTGTTTATATGCTACAACGACAGCCAGGAACAAAACAACCATGATGCATGGAGCACGTGTCTGAGCTGTGAATAACAGTACTGCCTCTTAAAGTGGCTGTTAGGATGTGAGGAGAGAGATGGAAGATTAGCAGACCCATACAGATGTGTTGTGCATCAGTGTTTCCTTCAGAAATACAGTCAATAACATGAAGTTTAAGTGCGCGAATCAAATTTTTCGACAAATTTTGTTTATTCGATGAAAGATCCGTCTGAATGTTTGTAAAAAATGTTTAAATGATTCTTGAAAAGAAGTGAGTCACGTATTAGTGATTCGGACAACACTGGTCGAGTTTGTTTTTGCGTGCAGTCAGGAGAACAACTTGTTTTCTTGCTATAATTTTGCAGCAATCCATCATATCCCATCACATTTCATTCAGACTGCCAGCTCAGATCTCAGATAAAATATAATTTTGTGGTGGCGGTGTAGATTTAACAGCGGATTTTTAGATTCAGTTTGAAAGCGCTAAAGGAAACACTGGTGTGTGTATAGGAGAGCGAGTCTTGTGCACATTAAAAGCACATGCCGTGAATCGACGGGTTCCTGCTGAAGAGCAACTCTTTTGATGAAGGCTATTCAATTTGATTATTCCTGGAATGAAATCTGGAAAATAATTCTGTGCACACAACCTCTGTATCTTCCTATAATATCATGCTTTTCTATCATGGCAAAGGACTAGAAAATATAACTCCCAAGTTTTCTACACATTTCCTCATGTGGTTTGCTTGATCATTCAAAACAGTTGCTCTTATATGAAGTCACATAGTTGTGACATTCACTGTTATTACAGACGTGCTTTGTTTCAGTGGACTGTTTACTGTTGATAGTAGGAAGTCAAAGAAAAAAACCATGCTCATTTAAAGGCAGCACGATGTAAAAGATTTAGGTTAAGATTATTTTGGGGGGGAAAAACACCCAACCTCCATTTCCTGCATTGTGATGTCATCATCAAAGGTGAGTGCAGATATGAGCAAACACAGGAAAAAAAAAACAATAAAATCAAACATCATAAATAATAACATTTGTCACTTAGACAATAAGATGTGATAGAGGATACGTGGGTGCATGGCACATATTTAGCCTAAATTAAGCACTCAGTAGGTGCTAGATCCATTTGATGTGATTAATTTTATGTTAGATAATAGTTTATGAAACATATCTAGTGTCTTCTGTAAAGAAGATGGGATTTGTGCACGTATTGCTTTAAAGAAAAATAATGGTACACCAATTTGTACACGACTCAAGAAAGGTGCCACATCGTGGCAGGGAATAATATAATAAATGTGCATGCTATGATGAAAACAGCTGAATATGCTGATTAACTCTGATGAAAAATAATTATAATTGTATAATATATTAATAATTCAATTCTCTCTTGGATGCATATTCTGCTACAGGGAAGGAAGCATGCCGGCGTACACAATTCTAGGTACACTTGAGATCTGAGAGAATAAATGGTGCCCTACAATTGTAAAGCATGATTCATGTGGGAAATGTGAAAGGAAACACGAGGGAGAAGAAACAAACACTCCGCATTGAGCTGAGTGATAATGGCAAATCCCACAAAACCAAAGGGAGAAAGGACTGACAGGAGGATTGACATCTTTTCTTGACAGTCTTCTTTCCTTATCTTCACCCACCCAGGATTTGCCAAATACCCTTTCTCTCTGAACACAATGGCTGGGTCTCCAACCTAGCATGCAGCCTGACTAGACAGCATTTTTGGACTTTGAGGCAACTATGCCAGTAAAATGCTATCTAGGCATGCAGCTCAGTAGGCTTTAAGGAGGTGTTTTATCTACCCAGCAGTCCTTTCCCCTTTTACCCGCTTCTCTCATGCGTGCACACAAACACACAGATCTTGCTCCCGCATGACTCATTAGGAAATAACAGGAGAGCCGTTCTGCGAAACACACTCTCTCACATGCGGCCGCTACCGTCTCCTCCAGCACATCCTCTTGTCTTTATTGATCTATGTGTGTTCGAGTGATACTTTGCTAGTCTCTTCACATCCACTACAACATCCTCCATGTCTCTTTGTTCCCATTTACCGTGTAGTTGGGGTTGCCGGTCTGTATGCGCATTTCTGCCAGCACCCAAATGCCGTTGGTGAGTTTGACAGACTGGTACAGCATGTCCTGCCCCTCCACTGTTCTCTTGGCTATGGTGAAGATATTACTGCCTTGCAGCTTGTTGCTGGCCGCGTCTGTGAGAGAGAAGTTACTCATCAACACAAAACAGACATACATAGCTGGTTTTCTGAAGACAAATTTAACCTGAGTGAGTCTCTATGGCAACTCTGTGGCAAATGCGTATTTTTACTTACACGCTTACATATGAACCATTCAGTAATTAGTCTGATTTAAAATAAAAGTTAGCTCAAAAATAACCAATTTTCAACTTCAAATTCTTCTATTTTTATTCTTCCATGAAACAAAAATCTTAAAGGGATAGTTCACCCAAAAATGAAAATTTGATGTTTATCTGCTTACCCCCAGGGCATCCAAGATGTAGGTGACTTTGTTTCTTCAGTAGAACACAAACGAAGATTTTTAACTCAAACCGTTGCAGTCTGTCAGTCATATAATAGAAGTGAATGGGAATCAGGGCTTTGAAAAGACACAAAACGATCGGTCTGTGCAAGAAACTGAACAGTATTTATATAGTTTTTTTACCTCTGATGCACTGCAATGTCTGAACTGTACTAATGCACTTATAAGTCTGCGATCCGCCGTAAAGCAAGAAGAAGAAGAAGACTCGTCACGCGCCGGCTGTCGAGGACGCACTCAGGACAATTCAGACAGTTCATACATTGCAGTGCATCAGAGGTAAAAAGCGATATAAATACTGTTCAGTTTCTTGCACAGACCGATCGTTTCGTGTCTTTAGACATCAATGTATCGTCACGAGCCGCAGGCTTTGATTTGGTTTTGTTTGTGTATGTTTTTTTTTTACTCTCAAAGCCGTGATTCCCATTCACTTCCATTATAAGACTGACAGACTGCAACGGTTTGAGTTAAAAAATGTTGTTTGTGTTCTACTGAAGAAACAAAGTCACCTACATCTTGGATGCCCTGGGGGTAAGCAGATAAACATCAAATTTTCATTTTTGGGTGAACTATCCCTTTAAGTGGAAGATCTTAAGTGTCCAAGTTGCCTATTTTTTTCATAGAACAAAAACATTGATCTGCACTTCAAAGAGTAAATGAAATGTTAATTTGATATCCACTTATTTAAACGTTACATTGATTCACCAATTCACTAAAAAGAACCATCTCACAACATTATTTTGTGAATCAGATGTGACTAGTTGACTACCGTTGAAAAGTTTTAATTATTAAATGTTTTCTTTTTTGATCAAAGTCTTTATCAAATACATTTTATTCAGGATTCTTTTATGAATAGAAAGTTCAAAACAGAAAAAAAAAAACTTACTGATGAGTAACACACAATAAAGTTGAGTTGTTTCCTTTACAATCTACTCTATATATTTTGTGCTGCTCTGACTTTCTCATCATATTCATTTAATTGCAAGCTCAAATCTTTGCTAACATTAAAATATTTTGCTTTGGGACAGGAGATTAATACTTAATGCAGCAACACCTATATTAAATGCCAAGCCAAATGGAGAGAAGAGAGAAAGAGTCAACAAAAGAGCACTGAAGACACCCACAGTGCATTCATTAGCAATATCACTGAGAGTGTGTGTGCATGTTCATGCCAGTGTGATTCACAATTATTTTATGCAAACAGTCATGCGGAAGAGGATTATTCCCCAAAAACCTGCCTCGAGTTAATTACACCCAGACATGCCACCCAATCAGCACTCTTCAGAGACAGACCTTAACAGGACAGTGTGTTCTTTTAAAAGACAGAGCGTGTGACAGTCAATATGATACAAAGCACTGATACGGAGTACAGCACTTCCCTCCATCCTATCTTTGCTTATTTGTTTCATTTCCACCATTTCATTCATTCTCATCTTCCTTCACACACGTTACCCAATTCACTTATGCACAGAGCACATTTATTCCTGTTACCCGAGTTGAGGTGGATGTCTTTGATTTGGAACTGTGCCTCGTTGTCATTTGGAATGTCCTTCCAGGTGGCCAGGAACACCTGACGTTCTGAGAAGCAGAGGGACAAAAGGATAAGGAAAAGGGAGTTTTTTTTTTCCAGACACAGCTACTGTGCATTTGTGTGATATCCTGCAGAGACTGAACTCCATTTAAGATACTCCTGGGGGAAGCCATTTATGCACAAGCAGTCTCTCTCACACTCACACACGCCTCCACATAAACACCAACATCTTTTCTTACACACTCATTTGGACACACAGATCTGGCACGTGTGCTCACACTGTCATGCACAAGTCAGGAGTCAAAACTTAAAAACAATACCCAAACAAAACCTAAGAACACACACACACACAAAAATTAATGGACTGACGCCACAATCACCTGAAGCGCTTCTGCTTAAGTCTGAGGACGCAGGCAGTGATTAAGGGTGCACACAAACACACTCACCCATCTTTCCATCCTCTACAAAGAGCAGGCTGAGGGGATATTGGCAGCTGAAGTAGAACACGTCAATGTTATTCTTCACAGCTACCTGCAGCATCGACAAAGAGAGAGAGAGAAACACATTACGACTGTGATTTAAGACATTGTGGCTGTGGACAAGGCTCTCAAACCCTGTTAAGAGTAGACAGAATTCAGTTCATAAATTCAGCCAAAATAAATGGGCCTCTCTTTCTCCAGCACTTGACCAAAGAATGGCATACACACACACACACCACAGAATAGTAGGGAAATATGGTCCTTTGATCATCTCTTTCTTTGACATTTTGCCTCTCTCTCTCTCTTCATTCTTTTGTTTAAGACCTTCTGTGGCTTTGCAAAGGTTGGGTTCAGCTCCTGCGCGCGAAGTTCATGTTTGCACGCCAGTATGTGAACTTCAAACATGCATGAATGCCTCAAAGGCAAACTCACTAAGAGGATAGAAGATGCCCAGTGACAGTTCAAGAAAACGGAGCGAGTGTATCTGTCCAGGACAATCATACTCAAAAACACCTGTCCTAAAGAATCAGATATAAATATATTCTACGTGAGTGATTGTCTATATTATTGTTATTGTAAAATGTTACAAGTTGAGGTTTCTTGCCCTAATTGAATGAATTTTAAAGAAATACAAAAAGTCAGTCAAAAAAGTGCTTAACAACTCAGATTAAATACAACCAATCATTTCTTTGTTTTTCCATTTTGTGCATTAGTAAGTTTGCAGCTGAAAAAAAAAAAACATACCAAACTTTCAACTGATTATGGCTGTAAATCTTCTGAGAGCATGAGGGATTGAAAGGCACCCAGGGGAGCTTTTATAAAAGCTGACAGCAGGTGCACAGCATCCATCAGAATAGAGACTACACAGCCTCAGAGAGGGACAGGCAGTCCCACATAGACATCCAGACCTGCTACACTCCACTTCTGAATAATTCATCCAGCAAAACCGCTCTGAGCTGCACAAACCAGCTTCATCCCTCCCTCACTTGTCTAATTGTGGTTAGAAATACTATAGAACCATCAGGCAAAATAATATGAAGAAAAACCAATGTACTAATTAATGTGAAATCAGAAATCAAACTTTTCATTTTGTGGAACTGTCAGGAATTGAACCAAACATGACGTATTAGAATTGGTTTATCTTCTGTTCAGATTGATCTACAATATTATTAGCCTTGCAAATAATGACAATGAGTCAAGCTACAGAAAAATAAATAAATAATGCCATTCATTCAGTCTATGAGTAACATTCACTTCCTGTGATGCCACTGCAATGAATAACTGATCTATTATCGGCAGCCACGTGTGAAATTAATAATGCCACAAGCCTCTCTGGGAATGGAAGTAGTATCAGCTGTTGTAATCCATGCCTGCAAAGACTGGAAACTCATGGTAAGCCAAAGCACGTCCAGATAAAATACACGTGCTAAAGCTGTGAGCTGCCTGATATCCAGACATATTGTTGTTACATCAGTCCTAGAAAGATGGAGATAAAAATTCATGTTGCCTCCTATGATTCACAGCGACAAATCCCATAATTATTATCATACAGCTCTCTTAAACCCCTGCTGATGACTTCAACGATAAGCACAGAGCAGAAAGAGAAAGAGACACATTTATGATTAACCATTTAATGCCAGTCTAACATGTGCATCCTGAACACGACGCTCACTAATCTCTCTCCAGGAACGCTCAACACACGCATTTAATTTGAAAATGGCATTAGATAAAGCCTGAAGGGCTCTATAAAATCTTCAGATTAAAACACTATCTTCTTTTAATCTCTTTTAGGGCTCTAAGAGAGAAGAAGAGAGATCCTATATTTTTGCATTTGCTTCACCCAACCAAAACAGTCCCTGAAGCTCAACACAATCTTTTCCTGGTTTAATTACTACCAATTAGTGATTGCACTGTTCCATAATGCCTATGCCTTCCTATTGTAGTCTGTGGGATTTGTGGTTTATTTCCCAGTGCAGTCATTGGAGAGCACTGTGAATGATTCCACTGAGAGAGATAATCAGGCACAGCTAATTCAGACCTATTGCTGTACTACTGCAGACCTACAACACTGATCAAACGATGATAGAAATGGACATGCAGTGAGAGGAGGAGAAAGACAGAAAAGAGAGAGCAAACAGTCAAGGGAGAACCACTAATGACGATTTTTTTTTTTTTTTTACTGAATCTCTTCTGAGAAGTTGCATCCCTTGGTAACCACCCACACTTAATGTCTATAGTACTGTCTCTGGAGTGGCTTTTTTGGGCTGCAGCCTTGCTAATAAATGCTCATCGGGGGCTTGCTTTATTGCTTAACAGCACAACACTCATTTTCATACTGCACGTGAATTATGATGCTGCAGAAATGCGATGGATACATTACCTGCAGATTGTTGAGAGGTTCCATCTTCATGATAGGGCCGCTCATGCTGAGAGGGAGACTAACGTCAATGGTCTGATTGGGGCTCAGAGGAGTCAGAACCTGCAGAGCGCCAGCAGGGGAGAGACCGAAACTACAGAAAAACAGAGAAACACAGTTTAGACTAGTGATGCAACAAAAACTGCTTTTTTTTTTTTTTTTTACAGAAACTGAAATTAAAGTTTCATTTAGCTAAAACTAATGCTACTGCAGTTAAATGTGGGTAATTTAATTTGCATACTTATTCGTATGTCATATTCACAGTTCTGCTGCAATGAGCCACATCTCAATATTTCAGCCAAACACATTTTACATACTCTAGCAACATTTTTGGTCATGGTAATATGTGACTGATGATATGTTTACTTACTGTTGCTAATATATGCTGTGTGCACGAAACATACACCGACACGGTCAAAATGTGTCATTAGAGCCATTTCGGGTCAATGATTTTGCCCTCCAAAACTATTTTGGCCAAATTATTTTGTTTGCATCACCAGTTAAGACCCAATCAATATTTGGCTCAGGATTTGAAATTTTGTTTTATTGTCTGCAATCTGTAAATTTGTTGCACATTTACAGGTAGAGGGACCTTCTAGGAACAAGAACATCACAAAGACTTAGATGTGTGCACTTTTGACAGGGCAAGTAACCAACCACCCGGTCACCTTAACAAATCCATAGCAACACTCTATGTCAACCACTCACAACAGCCTAGCATTGTGGCTTGAGATTTGTGTGAGAAAGCACCATTCTATAAATCTATACATACATAAGAATATGACCTTTTGTTGCCCTTGTATTAGTCAAAGATCTAAGTAGAATATATTACAACAATCTGCTTTACTATACAAGCAGTAATTTTCTAGAGAGAAGTCCTCAACTGACATGAACACATTTAAGTCTCTTTAGAATATCAGCATGTCCTTGAATGATCCCACTGACAAAATGCTATAAATGAATGGAACGCCTTCCAGGCAGGCCTCCAAACTGATTAACAATCAGAGAAGATACCACAGAGAGAAGAGCAAAACCTTGAAGAGACCTCCAAAACCGTCTCCCGTTCTACCACTGGACTCACCTGTTCCTGTTGAACTGAATGGCGAAGTCAGTCATAACGCTCATGGCTTTGTTGGTAAGAGACAGATCCATCTGAATGATCCCACCGCGTCGGGCAAATGTCCCAGAAATCTCCAGCCCTTTAGCTTTCATTGCCGCTAACCACACCTGAACCCACAGATAAACAGGTTGAGAGTGTGGGGGAAAGAAAGAGAGTTAAGCGGACACACACAGGACGTTTCTGTACAAATGCATCAGATAGATGTTTTTGGCCCCTGCATTGCACCTTGCTGTTTTTAAGCATATAATTCTATGAGAGTTGCATTTTAAAGCCTTTTTTAAGATTAAAAATGTGCTCTGCATTCTGTTGGACTCTGTCGAGCTGTTATTGAACACCACAGCACGTTTCATGTCCTGAGTCCAGGAAACGCTGCCGCATTACAAATTGACTTAAAGCGGGGAAACTGCTTATAAAAGACTTCTGAAGTCATAACCAAAGTTATTGATTCAGAGTATTGATTGATTCTATACTTACAGTTTTAGGAGCAACGTAGGATCCTGTTGGCATGCCAACACCTCCACCGAGGTCAAAAAGGTCTCCCAATCCACCTCCAACAGCAGGAGCACCGCCGAGAGCAGCAGGCATGGCTACTGGGGCCGCCCCCAAACCGGCACCCATCTGAGCAGAGGGAGACAAGTATTACAACCTATTACAACTTTTCTAGACTGCTACAAGACCGTCAGGAAAAAGACAAATTAACTAAGATAAAAGACGTGGAGGAGGAATTTAACAGCTCTTTGATTAATGAAGGCAAACCCCTCTGTTGATGCTAATACTCCTCCAACGAAGCACATTCATCAAAGTCTGGATGAACTTTGCTAAAAATCTTACCGAAGGGCTTCCGCCGATGTCTCCTCCCAGCTGGGAACAGAAAGGACAAAAAGTGAGTGTAAGGATCAGTAGGCAGGAAAGATGCGGATAATTATGAAGAGGTTGATGAAGGGGGAACTAGCTCAGTGGGTGGAAACAAGTTAATGAGCTGCAAAGGAAGTTATGAGACATTCTATGTACAGTTTCTTTAATCTTTTTACTCTCAACTAGGGATGGGCAATATGAAATGTCAGTCAATAAAAGGTTTTGTTTATATCGCAGCATGTAAACATATCTGCACAGCACAGGACTGCTTAAAGTTATTAAGATGTTAAAGTGATACAGAAAGATGTACATATGTGACCAAAGTTTGCATCCAGGGTCACGAGGTGCTTTCCCAGTCCCATCCCCAACACTTCTCCTCCGTCATTTCCTGTCTCATCCCTACTGTCTCTATCTAATAAAGCCAAAAAAGGCCATAAAATGTCTGTCTTGGTGAGTATCCACAAAAACACAGTCAGTTATGTCTTAAATGATTGTAAACCATTGGGAAAGAAATCAGATGTGTGTCAACATACTGGATCTTTATAATGAAGTTTTAGAGTGACAGCAGTCTAACATACCTGCTGCTGTCTATGCCCTTAAATAGCAAAGACAAAAGAGAGAATCACTCGCTGCTCTTGATTGAACAACTTTTGTAGCTTTAATAAAAATCAGTGTATATTTAATTCATACAGCAAAGACTATGCAGTGTTTTATTTTACATTGATTGCTCTTTTTTTAATATTTCTTACTTAAATGCTAAATGCTTAAATGCACCTGAAAAAAAATATTGCATTTGTCTTGTTGTTTATATTTGCATACTTGTTCTTATTTTTAATAACAAAGCTAAAATAACATATACATATATATATATATATAATTATTGGGACAATAAATGACTCATATCATGAAAACAAATTTAGTCATATCGCCCACCCCTACTTTCAACATATTAAACATTTTGTATGAGATGTGACTACTTGTGTGTGACTACAACTACCGCTACAAACTCAAACACTGAAACAAAAAGGAGGAAAGGTGCTCTTATGATTCCTTCATACTGATCTGAGAGCAGTTTATGTTGGGCAACAGGGACTAGTCTAAGATCAGTACAGAGGAACATTTTAAGGATGAACTCAAAAGGTGAGAGCACCCACTCAGACCTCTCTCTCACTATAATCAGAAGTTGGCTGGGGAGACTGCACCTCTGTCCTGTGGGAAACTCCCGGCTGATAGAGGAATGAGAAATGGATGAAATGTTTCCAATGGATGAAAGCAGAACAAATGAGGGGAATGAAGCTGGGGATTTCTAAAACTCTACAAACATTCATGAACTTTACAGTGACTAAAAATACTGACATAACTAACAGATCCGCAATTTAGACTAATGAAATGGCATGATATGAAAGTGTCTGCTTCCTCTTTCACTTAGTTTAATTACCGTATCTGATTCATCGCCCATCTGCAAGTGTAGCGTAAGGATAAAGGGGAGAGGAAAAAAAAAAAAAAAGAGTCAAAAAAGAGAAAGAGAAGACCGGAGGGGAAATGCAGGCAAGGAAAGTTGACTGTAATTATGCAAGACCATCTGTGATTTCTCAACAGACACAATTACACTGGTTAAGAGAGTTTGGATGTGTGTTTAAGGAGGAGGGGGCTGATCTGGGATTAGATGATCTTGATTTAGTAAAGTAGGTCTGGATCCTGCTGTTCAGGCCAAAGCTAACTCAAAATACATGTCCTACAACATGTGTGAGCTGAACAACTGACAAAGACATTACCAAAAGCCTTGCATGCCTCTGTATATGCACACACAGATTGTTAAAGGAACAGATGGGTATATTCATTCCAGTAATTACACTGTTTTTCCCTTTAAATGAATCTAATTTCACCACAAAGGGGTGATTATGTTTGTAGCAGAGCGAGAGGCGGCAGGAGATGAACATACCAGACTATCCAGACCTCCTCCCAGTAGGTCCATGGCTCCCATCTGCATTGAGGGCTGCACTGAAGGGACAGTGGCAGCGGGTGGGGCCAGATCCAGGTTCAGCAGGTCACCTAGGAGATCACCTTGTGATGGAATGACAGCAGGTGGAGCTTCAGAAGGTCCAGACTGGCCAACATCAGGGCTCTCGGCACTTTCCCCACTGAGAGAGAGAGAAATTATCAAATTATAATAACATTTTTTTTGTTGTTGTTAATAACAATAAAAAAAACACACATTTAAACACTAACACATTTTTAAACAAGATACATTTGAAAAAAAGATTATGTAAGGTAAATGTAAAATAATTTCATTATAAATATATTATTAAATATGAACTAAATAATAATTATTATAAATTCTTTATATATATATATATATATATATATATTTATTTATTTATTTTTGCTATTCTATATATAAAGTAATATAAGAAAAGAATATAAACAGAGACTCACGAGCCAGCGCGAGCAGGAATTCTCTTGTGCTGAACGCCACGGCTGCCCTCCACAAAAGCACTGGGAGGTTTGTGGTAGACTGAGGCCAGAGTACCAATGTGGCAGATAAGCTCCTCCAGCAGGGTGGGCTCAATCAGGTCCGTCTCCTCTGATATCAGAGGCTTCTCGGCCAGCACCACCTCTTTTGCCGCCACAGGGTCTGTGGAGAGCAGACGCCAGTAGATGTAGCCACGGTCACGCAGGTCAGGATTATCAGAATCCTGCAAAGTTAAAGAGAGCAAAATACAAGGAAAATGAAATTGACCAATAGTGAACCTAAGGGAATCATACACTGTTTATGATGTGAGAGGAAGGAAGAGAAAATGAGGTGACTGGTTCTTTCCACAAAACCTCATCTGAAGGACAGTGTCTTGTGTAAATAATGCAAAACTCCTTTGAGCACCAATCCATCTGTGTGATAAGATCAAGTGGTACGCCAGCAACACCCAGAGCAAAACAGCGGTGAGAGAATTAGATCTTGAGGCCATAAAATGGCACATGGGATAAATGGGACATTTGGTATTCTGACAGAACCCTGGCGGCGAGTACAGCCTGTGGCACTGAACCTCAAAGTTAATAATGACAAGATTCAATCTCAGATCCCAGTCTGACAGCACAAGCTCACGGCTTCTCTGAATATTAATCTCACACACATACCTGCTCTCTGGCTGATACACACACAAACATTAAACTAGTCTATCATCAACATTTTCAAGTTGCAAAAGGTACGTAAAGACAAAGTAAACCATTTGAATTAAGTGCTTTAATCCAAAAAAGTTTAACATTAAGGCTAAGTATTGACAGATTTCACAAATCGATTCAAATCTGATTCACAAAATCTGGATTCGATTTGGTTTATATTGAGATATATATGAAGTATGCATGTCAGTTTTTCTAAAGGAAAATCTCTAATGCTGTAAACTATACAGGGAATCATTACTATAATAAAGATTAAAATTAACAACATATTCCAAATTAAATAGCTATTCATTTTTAGATATAATAAGTACTTAATAATAATATATTAAGTTTTTACACATCAACTTTTTAATTATAGGGCCTATAATTATGTTTCTACGGAGCCCCTAAAGGGACATGGTGGTGGAAAAAAATTCGGGGTGGGAGGATTTTTTTTTTTTGCGTTCTCTCGCAAAACTTTTGCGTTCCCTCGAGAAACTTTGCGTTCCCTCGCAAAACTTTTGCGTTCTCTCGCAAAACTTTTGCGTTC